GACCCCTATTAAACATCCAAATGGAAGATAGAACAAATGTAATAAACGCCCAGAAATAAAACTATAGAGAGAGCCCTACATCGTCGGAAGAGTGAATAAAGACCTCTGCTCAGCACGAACACGTCTAAGCCTGGAACTGTCGTGTACCTGAAAAATAGAAGTGGGTCAGGCCCACGCGCAAGTTCTATACTACTACAATCCAAACAGAGGCCCGATACGCATGTACATCCTAAACAATTCAACAATAGCTAATAGTCCGTAAATATATATATAGTCACACTAAAGGACTCTCACTGGACTACAGGCCGGTCTCAACCTGAATAGAGGTAATATGCTAAAACGCACACGAAGTGGGCATATGTACCTATACCTAAACAGGGTACACCTCCAACCATCATAGCCAACTACACATCCCGATGCATATACGCTCCCTAGCCATCGGTCCTGAGGCTCAAGCTCATACCGAGGCACCATAACAGTACATATATAAAATCCATCCAAAATCCCTGGTATTGCCGCTCAACAAGTAGTTGCCATGACAATACAAATCCACGGGACTTAACTTTTAGTTAATCCCATTCTTATTCCAAGTAGGTGGGTAATGGTATTGATTTAAAAACCAAACCCATCCTTAGTATGCCACCGTCCCATACCGGTGCCTACTTTCCAATCCTCCAGTAGTCAATAATACCAAAAAATCAAGTATATATCAACTAAATTCCAACATCCAACATTCAATGTTAGCAGTGATAAAATAAGCATTGATAAACAGGGTCACAACAACAACATATACATGCCCAATTTAAGTTGTTCCCTTTAGTCTGATATAAAGACAGAATTAATTAAAACTTCCATTTAACACTTTATAAATGACATACAGATATGTAGGGTATGTATCACAAAATCCTAACCTCCACAGTTGATACTAACTGTGATAATGTAAGCATCAAAACAATATTCACAGTATGTATGTAGACATGCTCAAATTATAGTGTTCCACAAAACCGATCTAGTGTTAAACTCAAATCCTCCTAGTATTTAAGTTCCAACAGTTGCTATTACAGAAGTTAAGATAGCTATCATCTAGACCCATCCTTCCAATAATTTATACTAGCAGTGGTAAGGAAAAACGTGAACCACAGAACCACAATGCATCCACAAACATGCTTAGTCTAGGTTGAACGAGCTTACAACACTACTGTAACTACCAGTTTTATAGCAAAACTGATATCATTTTAGTTTGGTTTAATCTTCATTAATCCTGGAATCATTTAAGAGTGCAAAGAGTATGAAGCCTAAGGGAAAGAGTAAGGATAGAATCTTGCCTCAGAAACTTTTGTTCAAAGTTTCAACGTCGTCTTCTTAAAAAATCCCGGCGAGTTCCAAAACCCGGTTACTGTTCACAGGTACGAAACACTATTCCCGAACTCAAAATCTGATCTCCACCGTTCAGATTGTGCGACACTAAGTTATGAACCTGTCCTCCAAATTTCAGCTCGATCGGACCACGGACGAAGTGGGAATGGATGTTTGATGAAATCTGGGCAGAATGGGAAAAAACCTATGCGACCCAGTTACTGTTCACGAGTATGAATCACTGTTCCCGAGGTCAAACTCTGATCTCCACCGTTCAGATTGTGCGTCACTGAGTCGTGAACCTCTCCTCCAAAATTCAGCTCGATCGGACCAAGGACGAAGCAGGATTGGAGCTTTGATCAAACCTTAGCAGAATGTGAAAAACTGCGTTTTTCCTTCTCCACTTCCACAAAACGTGTGCTTTGTTTAAAAAAAACTCTACACAGACGTCTACTTTATACTTATAGAGTTTTCCTAAACCCTAGGTTCATTTAAGTCTAACTCACAATCCTAACCGGCCCATCCAATTAACGTAGAAACCTATGACTGCTATAATATAAAACCTTAATTTATACTGTAATTAAAACCCTAATTAGATGTATTTACCTAATTACCCTATTCACCATTAAATACTTAACAAATAATCTAATTGAACAAAATAATAATTAGTAAACCCAATTAAACCAAATAAAACACACATGAAATAAGACACACATAGAATAATTAAACCAATTACACTTAAACCATTAATGCCAATTAAATAATTAAAACACTAACAAGTAATTCCAATCAAATAACTAAACCAATTACACTTAAACCATTAATGCCAATTAAATAATTAAAACACTAACAAGTAATTCCAATCAAATAACTAAAAATAAATATCATTTAAATAAATTAAATCACTACAAAAGAAAACAATTAAGCACCTAATAAAAAAAATAATGACACATAATCAAATAAAATGCACTTAAATAATAAATTAAATACCATTAAATACAAGGAATATCCTTTTTAAAATTAGGGGTATTACATTCTTCCCCCCTAACAAAAGGAATTCCGTCCTCGGAATTCACTCTTACCTTCTTCCAATATTTCAGGAAACCGTGAGCGAATGACATCCTCTCGTTCCCAAGTGGACTCAGACTCATTGTGATGACTCCACTGAACACGAACCAAAGGAATAACCTTATTACGAAGAATCTGATCTCGTCGGTCGACAATACGACACGGTGGCTCTAAATAAGTTGCATCCGGCTGCAACGCAATCTCCCCAACATCGATATGCTGATACCGATCCTCATCTCGAAGAAATTTCCGCAACATGGAAACATGAAACATGTTGTGGACGCGATCCAAAGTATCCGGAAGTGCCAACCGATAAACAACAGCTCAAATGAGATCCGTAATCATGAATGGACCAACAAATCGCGGTGACAACTTTCCTTTCTTCCCAAAGCGCATAACACCCTTCATAGGAGACACTTTGAGTAGAACTTGATCCCCAACCTGAAACTCCAAAGCCCGACTACGACGATCAGCATAGCTCTTTTGCCTACTTTGGGCAGTACGCATGTGATCTCGAATAAGAGCAATCTTTTCAGAGGTATCCTTGATGAACTCAGGACCTAAGAATCGATTCTCTCCAACCTCCATCCAACAAACAGGTGACCGACACGGTCGACCGTACAATGCCTCAAATGGTGCCATACCAATAGTCTTCTGGAAACTATTGTTTTAAGCAAACTCCACAAGTGGCAAATATTCCTCCTAGTGACCCTTGAAATCCAGAACACACGACCGAAGCATATCTTCCATAATCTGATTCACCCTCTCAGTCTGTCCGTCAGTCTGAGGATGATAAGCAGTACTAAGGTGTAACTCCGTACCTAAAGCCTGCTGAAAACTCTTCCAAAATCCAGATACAAAGCTCGAATCCCTGTTCGATATAATAGACAATGGAATGCCATGTAGCTTCACAATCTCTGAAATGTAAAGCCTCGCCAATTGCTCCGAAGTGTAGTCAGTGCAAATAGGCAAGAAATGAGCTGACTTGGTCAACCTATCCACAATGACCCATATGGAATTATGCCCCTTGAAAGAATTTGGCAACCCTTCCACAAAATCCATAGATATGCTCTCCTATTTCCACTCCGCAATTGGTAGTGCCTGTAGAGCTCCTGGCGGCCTCTGATGATCAATCTTAACCATCTGACAAGTACTACATTGAGAAACAAAAAGAGCAATGTCCCTCTTCATACCTGCCCACCAAAACTGCCGCTTCATATCTTGATACATGTTATCGCCTCCTAGATGAACAGAGAACTCAGAGTGATGAGTCTCAGTCATCACATCCTTCCTCAAATTATCAGCAGAAGGTACCACTAACTGTCCCTTGTACCTTAAACCTCCATCAGCCCCAACATAGTAGAATGGAACCTCTCCGGAAGCTATCTCTGCGACCTTGTCGACACACTGCTGATCGGTGAGTTGTGCTTGTAAAACCTTGCGAATAATGGAAGGTGTAACCACCATGCAAGCTATAAAAGCATCCGATAACTCATCCACACTCTTTAAAGCATTCCACTCAGTAGTGAATAGAGCAGAAAGTGCCGAGATCATTAGTGAAAGAAGGACCAACGACGATCCTATCCTAAAGGAGAAGGAGGAGTAGTAGGAGTCAGTTTTCCTTGAAGATCGAGGAAGAAATTGGAAAATTATGCTATTCGGAAGAAGTCTTCTACAAAGGGAAAGCCTGTTACGAGTAAGTGGAGAGGAAAGATCTCCAGAGATTCTGATTTCATTCCATGTAAGTGGCTCGACCAGTAACCAATGGCGAAAACTCAAAAATCCATGGTTTCTCGGTAGAACCCTATTTCGTCCAAGTTGTTGAGGAACCGGAAAAAAGAAGAGGTTTTTTGCGCAGCTTACTCATAGTTCAAGTCCCACTAGTATATCGTATTTGGCCGAAGAAGCATCCGACAGGTTGACGTTCTTACCTTCTTGGGACTCCATGGACCAAAATCTGCTTTCATTATATGGGCAATATTGATCTACATTAGTAGATCATATGGATGTAGAAAAAGCTTCACACTTGGATGAATTTACAACATCTCTTTTCCATTTCTATTTACCCAGTTCATATCTTTCTTTCGTGTGTTCTGGAGAGGAATTAGATCTCTTCAATCTCGGGATACTGCCTAAATAACTACGGCCAGAGAATCAAATAGGTCGGGAAGAAAGAGTCTGAGGTTGGGTCGGATGACATACATCTTGGTTGGTCCCACCACCACTAGGGATTGGACATATATAGAATTAAGATTCTAAATCAAAATCTGAATCTCTTTTGTTGATTTTTTCATTAGATAAGAAAATGGAAATAGAAAGACTATTTGATTGATATATTCTTATTGAAATAGCTGTAAGACAAAATATAGGAAAAAAAGCCTCAAGCCCTTCTTTGCAGTTCCTCCCAGATACGTGGCTTAAATTCCTGGCTCAACATTCTTGGAAAACAATCGAATCGAAGGTTCGGAGGATAATTGGCCATTCAATCTTGTGAACTAATCGAGACCAAAATTGGAAAAAGAGATACGAACGGAGAGGAATAACCAATCGATGAAAAAACATAAAACCATTATGTTTCAATAGAGGTAAATGGTTGGGGGCAATGAAGTAGGTGAAGTGGTTGGATTTTGCGAGCTGTTCCAACCACTGCTGGATGTGATTCCAAGAGCCGAACGAGAATGAATACCACACAGAAGAGTCAAGACCAGGCTCTCTAATGGAATGTTTAACCGATCCATTTCAGATCGACCGAATTGGTACAGAAGTTGTAACATGGGAAAACCACAGAAAACACGACTGATTTGAATAACCCGGTGACCTACCAATTGTAGAAGTAGGATCTTTGGCAAGCAATAAGAACATAAATAATACAATTCAAGTGTACCATCTTCTTTCTCATTTCGAGGAAAATGTGCGGAAGGAAAAGGAAACAACGGAGGGATCCGAATCGGACCTAAATGGGAATGACATGAAAAGTGTTTTTCAAAACCTAGTATTAAAGGCGTTACGACGATATACGAGAGGAATAAAGAAAAACTCGTGATTGGTGTGGAGGGGGAGATCTGTTTATGATATAGTTCAAGAAAGAGTCGTCTCATTTCCTTACTTCTTCGTTCTTTCTAATTCATTCACTTCAAGGCTGGTTCTGAACGCCGTGTAACATCATCTTCAACCAACCTCCACCGGTACCTTCCCTTTCGGTGCGGCCACTAAAGAAAGAATTGCTTATACACTAAACAGCTGCTTATATACGCTTACTAAAATACTACAGTAAGTCTTATTCTATCCCAAGAATTTGATTCATATATGGAGAGCCGAGATTTCCCTCACATAAATTGGGGAGGGGAGGGCTACGCAGCTTGGACTCTATCCAGGGCAGTCTCTCTAATACAGGTCTACGGGCTCTCTAAGCGCAGTAAGCTACCTTAATCACATGGTCTCAATGGCTCATATAGCTAGCCTTGGCTATCGTTCCTTCTGAGCTGGGATACAGCTCTCTGTTTAGCATAAAGAACAAGGTTCATAGGTAGTTCCTCCTATATGACTATTATAGATGTTCGAAGGGCTTCCTTCTCAAGACATAAGCAAGGCTTCTTATTAGAACATTCCACTTCAAATTCATTTCATTATTATATAAGAATCTCATATTTGATTTTCCCTATCACCGGACAGGCCGAGAGATAAGAACAAGAAAAAATAATAGCGCAAGTAGTTGTTGTTTCCTAAAAGAGAAAGTTAGCGTGTAGAGAAGTGTCAAAAGTAGAGGAGCACTTTTTCGTAGCCGAAGAAACTGGAAAACTTTCAGGGTTTATAGGGGTGAAAGGTGTAACGGAGAATCAACATCTGCGTGTGAGACTCGCGTTGTTTTGGACCATATTTGCTTTGTTTTGTTAGTTCATGCTTATGCTTTGAACTCACTCGTATCTTCCTCAACGTAATTCCGTATATAGTGTGAGTCTTTTCATAAGATCAAACTCATTCCCTCGCTCGGGTCTTTTCCACCATTCCGTACTAAAGGTCAAATCGAAATTTGGTAAGCCCTAGAAACTTGACCCCGGGTAAGGTTGAATTACGAAATGGATTTCCAATGTTACCCCTTTGTTTAGATAATGAGGATCAGAGAATTTGCTATTTGTTAGCGGTCCAGGCATTCTAGTTCACTCTTCCCAGGCCGATCATATGAACCTCAGATTAGGTGACAGGAGCAAGGTTAAAAGCTTCAGAAAGCAAGGTCTAGTACAGAAGTAGAGTATAGATAGGGGAACCCTGACCCATTATCTTACCTAGCCAAACTCTACACCTCTGTAGACCAAAGCTTCGTCTACCGGACGCGGGGGCGGATCTTTCTTGGGATGCGCAGCCTAATTTTGCACCCCAATGTATGAGACTTTCCTGATGCTGAATTACCTACTACTTTTTTTTCTTAGCTTTTCTCTAAGGAAATACTACCAGCAAGAGAAGCTATGCTGACCAGAAGCTTTCCATTTACAGGGCATAAGTGAGTGCTCTGAGCATAGTTAGAATAGCTCATCATAAAAGAAAAGGGGATGCCTTGCTACTGAGCATGAAGATTGTACGGTTGAAAGGGCGGCAGGGGAGAATCCTATTTATTATGACTAAAGCACAGATTGGATAAGTTGCCCGCTAACTCATCAGCAGAAAGCACGGGGAGTTTTCTAATCAATCTGCTGGGAAGACCTATCCTATTCATGTGTCGGCACTTCCTTTTTTTCTTTTAGGCTTTCGTCGACAGACTGAATTATAGGTGCAAGGAGGCCATTTTAGGGCAACTGATTATGTATTGGTACGCTTGGTTGTGAAAGAGAGATCTATTTTTCTATTCCCAATGTTCAATGTGGGAGGACTTGAATCAGTAGCGATCCATTTTCACGTGCTGGGGACAAAGCAAGACTTGGGCATAGCAGCAACCCTGGAATATGAGAAAATCGGGGGGGTTTGTAAGTGCTATTCAAAAAGCAGCAGCGAGACTCGTTTCATTTTATATTGCATCACAAATGGAGAATCAGATCGGTTTATTCATTTAAGTAAGAGAAGTGGGCGCTTGCTTTCCTCAATAAGTTAGATGGAATGAACTGAAAGGTTGAGAACAGAGGTGAAGCCTATACGAAAGATTCCTGAGCTTTTCCTATTGAAATAGGTCGGTTTCAAAAGATCAAATGCGGACCAAGCCAAAACTGACACATTCTGGGGAAGCTGCGAGATGCCCAATCACACACTGAGTTTCGCCACATTTCATATACTGCGATGTGGGTCTCGGACGAATAGATGGTTGTGCGCTAAGAAGGTGACTTGTGGATCTGAAGTTTAATCAGAATTTCACAGAATCACACGAGATAGGCGGTTGTTGGGGGGTTTGGTGTATCTCTGACGAAGGTATGGGCACAGCCTTTAGCCCGAAACCCCCTCCTTGCCAGCACGCAAGGCTCATGGTGGCGATAGACCGGATAGGCGAAAGAATGAGAGTCCAATTTCCATTCTACTAATTGAACGGAGGTCCTGAAACCGATTTAGGGCGTTAGGTTCTTTTTATCTGACACCCAGTTTTTGACAGAACGTTTGGATCATGTGGCTATGCTGTCAATCCACAGTAAAGCTTGACTACGCCTTTTCATGCTATGTGCAAGATATTATTATGTAAGAAATTCCCAGAGAGTTTGGAAGAAATTCCTTAGCTACCCCCCTACACTTGACTACGCCACCTTACCCCTCAACATGTGCAAACGGTTAAAAAGAAAGAAGAACCAAGCTTCAATTTGCTTTAATCACAGAGAACAGACAGGGGTATCGTACGTGAACAAAGGTTTCTTTGTAGTATGCCTATACCAATAGGTTATACCGAGGAATGTCCCAATCTACCTCTGAATCAGAGTTGTATTCCCATGGGGCACGAAATTCGGCAAAGCATCGATAGAAATGTCATATATAGAAGGGCAAGGGCACACGCTCGAAAATGCTCTTGTCCTTATACCAAACATTCATGTTTGCTATGTAGGATTCCTTCTTTAGGTCAATATTCTACGTGGGAGGAAAGAGTATTGATCTAATCCTTCGACAAACTCAGCATTAAGTTTAAAGACTTTAAAAAGATGAGCATATTCTGAATGGTCAGTTAATGAAGGGGTCTATAATAGGTATGCCAGGTTTATTTGTATAGGTGCTTCTGCCCGTGGTGTGGTGGCTTAGTAGTAAGGAAATTGAATCTCATTTGCTTTCTATCGATCTACTGCTGCCCTACCTCGCAGGAAGGAGCAACACTCGCAGTTGAACCTGTTGATTGAGTTTACCATGGGAAGGCATGGGCATAGGCCTCATAGTCAAAGGCATCCGAAGAAGCAGGGGCAACTAATACTAATAGCCGGATGCGTCAGGTACGGAGATGAAAGGTTTACGGATGGGGGAACAACCCTGAACCTGTTATGGAGAATGATACAAAGCTGATGTAAGAGCTATTGCGTGCGCAACCAATTAGGAAGAGACTTCTAGTAATTGTGTATCACTATTTCCTAAGCTCTAGCTTTCTTTCTAAATTCTAGCTGGTGTTTCTAAATTGACTAGAGTAGAATAACTATACCCGCGTATCACCCTTTGAGGGGGTGAAGAGGCTTTTTTCTTTTATTTATTTATTCAGGATAAGATTTAGACCTGCATACTTCCTTCTTTGGGTCTGTTGCGTAAGCGCAGCAAGACGACGTGACTCGAAATCTTCATAGATTATTTTTAGTGCCAGTCTCCCAGCCGAAGCTACATACTCTTCCTCATATCATCTGATGGCAAGTTTAGCCCGACATTCCCCATCAAGGGGGTATTCCGAAATGAACTGATCAACCAAAAAAAGCGCTTTTAGGCTCGAAGAAGAGTCATAGTCACGATCTTACTGACGGGTGGGATAAGTCATTAGCAATCCCTAATCTAGTATTCTAATTCACGTGGAATTCTGCCCTCCAACAAACTACCAGGCAAGGCATTGACCACATAGTCAGCGAAATCACAGTGCTTCAGTTTGGCGTTAAGATGATAGCAGCCCGCGCACAAGCAAGCGACTCAGTCAGAAACAATAAACAGATTGAACTCATTTCCAATCCTTATTCGCGTAAAAGTCGAAGATGCAGAAGTTGAGGAATAACATTTGACAGCAAAAACGAAAATATTAGCTCTCTTACTACAAAAAAGGAAGCAAGACAATTAGATGCGAGCTATGTCTTCTTCATTTCCTCAATGCAGTCGGTAAGTCATCTTTTAAGGCAAGGGGGTTATAAGGGTATGTTGCCAAAGCACTTCTAAATGCTTCTCTTTCTTCAGTTTCATCCGTGTGCCATATTTCCATATATAGATTGAATGATCATCAATGACTAAAATGAAAGCTCAAAAGCCCCTTTGTTCCTCTAATTGACCCTCTCAAGTCAAGTCACTTCATGCGAGCTACTATCTCACGAACTGAATCTCATATAGAGAAGGAAGCATTTCCAATCGTTAGAGAAGGGATCCCGGGGTCAAATAGGAATCAATGATCTGGCGAGATGCTTAACACATGCAAGTCGAACTTTCTTTTTCTCCTTTCATCATTAGGTAAGCGTGGGAACTAAACCTGCACCACTTCCGTCTCTTTCTTGTCTAGCTGCTCGTCAATCCTTTGTCAATCATTGGTTCAAATGCATTAACCAAATCAGAGAGTCGAGTAAAGGCAAGTAGTCCACCCGGTTCACCTGCTTGGCCTAACCTAACTGTCTAACGATGAGAGAAGCTAACGCACATCTCCCGATCCATGAAACAAGGCTGAGGCCTCTTATTGAATTGAATTCATCCACGCACTATAATGAAGGCATTCTACTATCCTATTTTCTGTCTCGTATAGCTGTTAAATATAACAAGCCTATTTTAGCTAAACGGAGGCTCATCCAATTGCATTTTTTTAATCGGATATATATATAGAAAATGAGTGAATTCTACTTTTTCTAGTTTTTTACCCCATTTGCCCCAAATGGCAACCTTTCTTTCTTATGATCGACCCTGTGTTCGTTCTCTGTCAAAATGTTTGCTAATGGCAGCTTTGTTCGTCATTCTTTTTCTCCCTATATATCCCTAGGCGCATGTTTTCCGAAACAGCTACTGAAAGAGTATAGGATGTAGTGAACTACCATCTGATGTAGCTACAGGGTGCTTCATCATTCTTCCGCCTATAGGAGGGGCATGAGCAGAGCCTACGCCTTCGATCTCTAACCCTATGCACTTTCCGTATTTGGGATCAGCATTGGAAGC